CTGCCCAAAACATCAACGAATCTACACCGAATGCGTAATCATTTCCGATGTTTTTTCGGAGGGGTGGGGGGGGCATTTTCTAGATTTTTTGGGCTGATTTGGAAGGACCGAAGACCATGCCGTGGCATGGCGCTGGAAGCAATGACGCCAGCGAAGCAGCGGGAGCACGATTCGGAACGAGCGGAAACGCGGAAATGAGGCCAGCGTTGCAGCGGGAGCACGATTCGGAACGAGCGGAACCCCCGAACATGAGGCCAGCGCTACAGCGAGAGCAGCATTTTGAAAAACAACCCAAGCGAAAACCCAACTCCTGGGAATCCTGTGTGCACAAAACAGTACGCGGAGGGGGGGGGGCGATTGTTTCCAGGACGCCACTAGTGGATAGAGGAGAGTAGTATCCAGATTGTGCAATTGTGGAGCGAAGAACGGAGTTCAGGCGGGGTTGGCGTCCTCCTCCTCCTCCTCCTCCTCCTCCTTCTCCTCCTCCTCCTCCTCCTCCTCCTCCTCCTCTTGTTCCGCAGCATCATCATCTCCACCATCATCTTGATCGTCCTCCTTGATAGTCAAGCTTCCTCAAGGGGGTGGAGCGTTTGCGGATCGCTTCTTCTCCTCCTCCTCCTCCTCCTCCTTCTCCTCCTCCTCCTCCTCCTCCTCCTCCTCCTCCTCTTCCCCCTTCCCCTTCTCAACCTCTTGTTCCATCTCTCCTTTTGCCCAGCCTCCTTTTCCATCGTGCTCCTCTCTCCATCTCTTCTGCATCCCTAATCCTCCTCCTCGTTCTCATGTTCCTCCGTTTCCCTCCTCGTTCTCCCCATTCCTCCCATTCACCTTCTGCGCGCGCGGCAGGAGGAGGAGGAGAAGGAGGAGGAGGAGGAGGTTGAGGAAGAGGAGGAGGAGGAGGACGAGGACGAGGACGTGCACGAGAACGACGAGGAGGAGGAGGACGAGGAGGAGGAGGAGGAGGAGGAGGAGGAGGAGGAGGAGGAGGAGGAAGAGGCGGATGAGGAGGAGGAGGAGGAGGCGGAGGAGGAGGAGGAGGGAGGGGGATGAGAAGGAGGAGAAGGAGGAGGAGGAGGAGGGGGGGAGGAGGACGGAGGAAGAGGAGAGAGGAAAAACGAGGAGGGGGGAGAAGGAAGGAGGATGAGGGAGGAGGAGGAGGAGGCACTGGAGGTAGGAGGGGGTGAAGGAAGGATGCCAGGGCCTCCCCCTCCACCTCTTGCCGTCCATCCCATCCTCTGGGCTCGCGCAACTTTTTGGCACGGCCGGCGCGCGGCCCGAATCCCCTTCCCTCCTTTCGGGGGGGCCTGTGGGCAGTGGACGCCCGGCGCCATTTTAATAACTAACTGGCACCGTTCCAGCATTTCAAGGAGGAAAAGACAACCGCCGCCACCGTCCCCATCCTGCTGCTCCTGCTTGTCCTCCTCCCCATCCACGATTACACAACATGAATACTATTATCCTCTCTCCCCTGACGACGTCCGGAAGATTCGGCCCCCCTCCGCATATTGTTGTTTAACAGGATTCCCGGGATTGGGGTTTTCCCTTGGGTTTTGTTCAAAATGTTGTTCCCGATGAAGCGCTGGCTTCATGTTCGGGCTTCCGCTCGTTCCGAATCGTGCTCCCGCTGCAGCGCTGGCCTCATTTCCGCCCTTCCGCTCGTTTCGAGTCGTGCTCCCTCTGCAGCGTTGGCCTCATTTCCGCGCTTCTTCTCGTTCTGAATCGTTCTCCCGCTGCAGCGCTGGCGTCATTATTTCCAGTGCCATACCACGACGTGCAATGCTATTCTATGTGGTGTTCCGCTGTGCGATGCCATGCCCTCAGCTGCAATGCCAGGATATGCAGTGCTTGACTACTCAGTTCCACGCCTTGCTATGCCATGCTACGCTTTGATCTTCAACGCCATGTGATGCCATGTTCTGTTCTGTGCCGCTGTGCGACGCCATTATTTGCGCTGTAATGCTTAGTGATGCATTTCTTCACTACGCAACGCCACGTCATGCTATGGCATATTACGTTCTGCCGTGCTCTTCTACGCTATGCTATGCCGCGCTCTACGATGCATCGCGCATCCTCTCGGGATCATTGCCTTGCTCGACATCAGACTGTGCAAATAGAGAGGAGATCTACGCCATGGTAGGGTGCGAAAGAGGGGCAGGACGTCAGATCTGAGGCGAGCGCACTTAGCTTGCCCTCTCCCCCTCTCGCTCCTCCGTCTCTACCCACCGTTCCTTCCTCCCCCTCGTCCTCCGCCCCCCCTTTCCTCCACCTAAGACCATTACCGAACCCCCTCCTAAGGCAGGCGTCCACAGGTGAAAGAAGGGCACAACGTCGGTCGGGGGATTTCATGTGCATCTTCTGCGTTGCATCACTCAGTGTATTTGTTGAACGCTCCATTATCCCCATCCTCATCCTCATCCTCATCCTCCTCCGCCTCCTCCTCCTCCTCCTCATCATCATCGCCATCGTCATGATCATAGTCATCATAAGCATCATCATTACCATCATCATCTTCATCATCACCATCATCATTGTCATCATTCAAGGGAGGAAAGACCACCCAGACCAGACAATTGGCGTTCACTAAACGGCCCTGGTCTTTTACCACAAGCCTTGCCCTGTTCGATTTCTTCTTTGGGCCCGTTTGACAAACGACTTCGCGTGTCTGGATGGTTATCATGGTGGTGATTTTCACCTCGAATCACCACCATCAACATCATCATCATTATCCTCATCATCTTGATCGTCGTCGTCGGCATCATCATTAGAATCATGATCATCACCACCATCACCATCATCACTACCATCATTATCATTCCTTGCCTTCAGCGTCACCACCATCATCTCCGTCGTCGCTGCCGACCTCGTCAGATTATGATGCCCCAGGGTTGGACACTCCCAGCCGGGCGATGCCTCACACCCTTGGCCTCCCAGACATCCGAGGGTGTGTGTTTTCTCAATCCGTGACCCCAGGTTCCCCGTCCCCGTCCCCAGGGGTAGCTTTCCGCCCGAGGCCCAGTTGATGGCCTGGGCGCCCGGAAACGGGCCCAAGAGGCCGAAGTGAAGGAAAAACCGCCAGCCATTGAGCTGACCATCTCGTCGGAGATCTTGGACTGTCGCGCCGCATGCAGGGGTACAGGCAAGACGCTGAGATAAGGACCGCTCTGGGCTCAGGCGGGACTCTGGTTTTCGAGCCAGTCCTTACATCTTAGTCGTGGGACATGTTTGTGATTTAGGCTGGCCGTTGCCAGAAAAGCCCCCTCGGTCCTTACAGTCAACCCGCATGGCAAGTATGAACAATTCTCAAGGGTTATCCTGGGCCATCCTTGGCCGCATTCGCTGGCCGCGCCCCGCTCGCTCAGGATCGACAGGGCCTTCCGGTGCTCCTGCATCCTCCTTCGCGCGTCCTTACTGAATGGGTTGACTGTGCTTACAGTCGGGGCCTTGACCTAAGGAACGATAAATAAGGAGCGAGGCCCCTTTTCCCCACAAGTTCAACTCCGATTCCCCATCGAAAACCAAGGAAAGAATCCAAGGCAAACTGTGAAGCCATCAGGGGACACGGAGCCCCTCCCCAACGAAAAGGCTTCCTTCTTCAGGGCCGTCCAGTGCTCCTGCATCCTTTTTCGCGCGTCCTTACTAAATGGGTTGACTGAGTCAGCACGACATGGGGGTTGACGGGCGGGGGTCCCGGGCCTTGGATCCCGTTCTTGGCAGCTCCTGGGAGATCTTGGCAGCCCTCCCTGGGTCGAGCAGTGGCGATGCGTCCTGGCCTGGTCGCGGCCTCGAGGGCCCCCGTCGGCGCGCCTAGTGACACGGCGCTCGTCCTGCAAGAACGCCCCTTGAGCGCAGTGACGCGGCTCGCAGCGAGACACTGCAAGCACACTCCTGCCTCCTTCTCGTGCGCCCTTCTTCCTGAATGGGTCGACTGTGCTTCCGCGCTCCACATGGCAGCACCATGGCGGCGCCAACGCCGCGCACCCCACGGGCCGCCTTCCGCCTCTGCCGGCCCCGCGCGCGCGCGGCGGGCCGGCCGGAGCAGGGGCCTCTGGGGAGCCGGGGCCCCCGGTCGCGGCCTCGAGAGGGCCTCCGTCGGCGCGCCCCGTGCCTTGGCATCGCTCGGGCGTGTGCACTTTTCCTGCGGCGAGGACCATCGAGGAGCATCTTTGATCATTTGGCGACAAGAACCACGCGCGACCCCCCCCCCAACAAAAAACACAGGGAATGGACGTCCGAGCGATGGCGAGACGCAGGTCAGGAGAGACCTTTCAGAGGAGGAGCAGGTGCCCATACTGCTGCCTTGGCACCGCTCGGACGTGTACATTTTTTCTCGGCGAGAACCATAGAGGACCATCCTGGACCATCGAGCAAAAAAACACGCACGACACCGAAAGATGCACGGGAAATGGACGTCCGAGCGACGGCAAGCTACCCTTCGCCCGTTTGCCCCTTTTTGGCCCTCTTGGGAGGCCCTCGACGCCACCGTTGGATTCGCCGCGACATCATGGTCGGAGCGCACCCCGGCAGAGGTCTGGGGAGCGGCGGTATCGGTACCTTGTGGTACACCAGAACAGACGATGAATTCAGGCACATCTCAACGTCCATTTCCGCAAACAAGTTTGGGTAAATGTAGGAGATGGAGGGGAAGGCGCAGACCCCACAGAGCATTGGAGATGTAGGGGGTCCTGGAGCTCTTGCCCATCTGTTTGTGCCATCCGGGGTCACTTTCTACCAGAGACCTCCGAGGTCGAAGACGGCGTCGCCGCCGGGTTCGCCGTCGCGCCCTTCGCCGTCGCCGTTACGCCTCCGTCGTCGTCGTCGTCGTCGCCGTTTTCACTGCCGTCGTCGCCGACGTGCTCGTCGCCCTCGCGCTCGTCGCCCTCGTGACTCCGCCGTCTGTGTCCTCGTCCGCCGCCGCCGCCGCCGTCTCTGTCTGCTTGTCCTCGCCCTCGGCCTCGCCGTTGGCCGTCGCGTGGCGTCGTGGCCGGGGCCGTCGCCTCGTCGAGGTGGGCCGCGTGTTCGCCCTGGGGGACGACGAGCACGGGCAGTGCGGCGGGAACAGCACCGGCGGCGCCGCCCTGGCCTTCCCCACGCGCGACGCCATAGTAGGCGGGCCCCGCCCGGCCGCCTCCGAGAGAGGCCCAAAGGACGCCGACGACGACGACGACGACGACGACGACGACGACGGCGACGACGGCGACGGCGACGACGGCGGCGACGACGACGACGATGACGACGACGACGACACAGGCGACGACACAGGCGACGACACAGGCGACGACACAGACGACGAGACGACGGCGATGCCTCGTTCTCGGCTTCTTTGGCCTCCTAGGAGGACCTCGTCGTCACGTCTGCATTCGCCTGGACATGATTCTGGTAAGACCGCGCCCCAGGAGAGGTCCAGGGAGTAGTTCGCTCGGCGGCGAGCGAGGGGGGGGAAGCAAGAAGGAGGAGGCCTTCTCAGAAGGCGGTTGGGCTTCTCAGAAGGCATCTGGGGTTTTCGGTGTCTTCGGGCGAGGCCTAGAGAATTTCTCAGAAGCCCAGGGGACCTCCGAGCCTTCTGAAAAGGCCCGCCCCGTCTCACTTCCCCCTGGGCTCGCCGCGGAGTAGTAGTGGTAGTTTCTGGCCTTCCCAGAGGCCGTCAGCAGCCCTCGGCAGCCCTCAGCGGCCCTCGGCGGCACTCCGCGGCCTTCGGCGGCTGTCGGTGCCCTTCAGATCGGGGAAGGCGGCGGCAACGCCGTCGTCGCTACAGGGCCGTTTTTAATACATGCTCCGCGTACAGGGCCGTTTTTAATACATGCTCCGCGTGCGGAGTTAGTATCAAAAACAAAGATGAGTTCATGCATATATTTATTCATAAACTAATTATGTATTCAAAACCCTGTATTAAAGAAAATCCCATGTATTAAAAACTGCCCTGTATCATCGAGGATCGGGCGCTCGGAGGTTCCTTTTCCAGGGTGCCTGGGTTCCTTTCGTGGGGGGGCTCCCTGGGGCCTCTGCCGTCGCCGGGGGTGGAGGGTCGAGGATGGCAGCTGGCGGCTGGGAGTCCTCTTGGAGCTCCAAGGGGGCCCCCGTCGTCCTCGAGGTCCCTCCCGGGGTCCGTCCTCCCCCGCTCGTCGCACCGCGCTCAGTCGTGGCAGCGAGCACCTCCCGAGGCGAAGCCCCGAAGCGCAGCCGTCGTCCTCGCCCTCGTCGCCGTCGCCGCCCTCGACCTCGACGCCGGCGCATCCGGCGTCCTCGCCGTCGTCCCCTCGTCTCCGTCGCCCTCGTCGTGGACGCCGCCCTCCTCCTCCTCCTCGTCCCTCCTCCTCGGTCGACGCCGCCGGCGCCGTCCTCCTTCCTCGCCGCCGCCGCCGCCGGCCGCCGTCGTCCTCGTCGTCTCCGTCGCCGCCGCCGCCGGCCGCTGCCGCCGCCCTCCGCCGTCGCCGCCGGCCGCCCGTGCGCCTCTCGGAGGCATCGCGGCCGGGGCCTGCCACTCGGCGGCCGTGGACGCCGCGGGGCGCGTGTTCGCCTGGGGCTGCGGGGGCAACGGGCGCCTCGGGCTCGGGGGAGGCGCGCCGCGGACTCGGGGGGGGGGCGGTGGCGACGGCGTCGGCGACGACGGCGTCACTGCGTCGGCGACGGCGGCGTCGGCGACGAGGACGACGGCGAGGAGGAGGAGGAGGAGGAGGAGGAGGAGGAGGAGGAGGAGGAGGAGGAAGGAGAGAAGAGAGAATAGGAGGGCGACGAGGAGGGCGACAAGCACGACGACGGCGACGGCGACGAACGACGGCGACGAGGGCGTCGACGACGAGGACGGCGGCGGCCGCGGACGACGACGACGACGACGAGAACGGCGGCGACGGCGACAACGACGACGACGACACAGACGACACAGACGACGATCACGACGACGAAGACGACGACGACGACGACGACGGCGGCGACGACGGCGACGAAGACGACGACGACGGCGACGACTTTGCCCTGTTGTCTGTGTCGTCTGTGTCGTCTTGGTCGTCTGTGTCGTCGTCGTCTTCTCTCATCGCCACGTGTCGTCGACAATGATGACGACGACGTCTTCGTTCCGCAGGCTTCGTGGTGCGTGTCGGGGGGCCCTGGCCGCCCGAAGCCCGAGCGCGGCTTTCTCGAGCCCGACCGGGACGGGCCCCACGAGAGGGGCGGGTCCCCGAGGGCCCATCTGGCTGGGCCTGGTCCGGCGACGACGACGACGACGACCCAGACATCTGGCGTCTCGAAGAAATCGAGACAGAGATTTTTCATCGTCTTCGGCCTCTCGGGGGGCCCTCACCGGGCCTCGGGGCCGTCAAAAGATGCGACTCGGGATGGAGAACCGGTCCCCGGGGGGAAATGGTCGAGAGGTCTGGGGCCCGCACCTCGAGAAAGGATCGAGACGCCGGAGGTCTGGGCAGGAGGAGGATGCAGGATCGGCGATTCCGGACGTCTCTGGACGGAGTTCTTGCCATTGGCGCGATGCTTCCGCCTCCCTCCCTCCTGCCGCCCTTCTCCTCCCTCCCGCCTCTTCAGTCCACTGCACGTTCGGGCCCCCCTCGCTCACAGGTCGGGCTAAGATCCGCTCAGGCTCCTCACTTGCGCTCAGGCTCTCACTAAGACCGCTCACCCTCATACAGTTTGTTGGTTTCTAATTATTCGAAACTTCCTTGTTTTTTGGAGGGCCAAGATCCTCTCATTTCTAATTGTTCTGTCCTCGGCCTCTTCCTGGCCACTAGGAGGCCAGGAACAATTAGAAACGAGCACACTTAGAAATGAGCACGATTAGAAATGAACGACGTGTACGATGCGTTTATACGCAGCCCAGTCATACTCAGGCTCATATATTCAGGCCCACCGTACCCAGATCAGTCGCTCCCAGACACACATGCTCAGACCCAATCACACTCATATTCGCGCCCAGTAAGTCTCACCACTCACACTCAGACCTCAATCGCCCGTGGTCACCGCGATGTAGCAGGCATGGCACATGGACACTCCAAGATCCGCCGGGGGGTATCTCATGGGCCTGTTCACGCTCAGATTTTGGGGCTGTCCCGAGCGAGGCTCTCGATTGCCCCCCCCTACTCTTAATCTTTGAGAACCCCGTGATCACCGCGCTGTAGCAGGCATCGCATGTGGGCGCCCCAGGGAGGCCTGGTCGCGCTCAGAGTTGTGAAGTTGTCTTGGGCGATGCGCGCGCTCTCCCGGTCCCCCCCCCCCCGAATTCTCGCCCTTGCGAGCCCCGGGATCACCGCGATGTCGACGGCAAAGGAATTGGGCATCCCAAAGGGGAGTTCCTCCTCCTCCTCCTCTTCCTCCTCCTCCTCCTCCTCCTCCTCCTCCTCCTTCTCCTCCTCCCCCTCCCCCCTTTCCTCCTCTTCCTCCTCCTCCTCCTCCTCCTCCTCCTCCTGCCAGTGAGAGTCCCACCGGGCTTTGGCACGAGGGCGCCCCTGAAGCCCCGAAGAGGCCCAGAGACCTCCAAACGACCACTCTCGGCCATTGGTCGGCGCCTGCGGCGGCGGCGACGACGACGATGACAGCGGCAGCGGCGACGGTGTCAACGCCCCCGTGACCAGGTCTTCGCCGCGGGGTGTTTCTGTGTTTCACGCCGTGGCGAAGCGTCCCAGCTCTTCCATAGCCCCACCAAACAATGTTCTAAGAACCTTTTGTGCTTCCCACGAAATGTTCTTAGACCATTCCTGGCTGGGACTGTCTCGTTTTAACACATCGGGTTTATGTTACAAGAACATTGTTTTTGTTCTAAGAACATTTTCGGGTCTTGGCCGCGGGCTGTTTCTGTTCTGTGACACAGCGGGCCCTGAACGGCTTCCTGGAGACCCCGGAGTCGTGAAAGCCGCCCGAGGAGGAGGACAACGACGACGCAGACAACGACGCAGACGACGACACAGACGCGGACGCAGTCGACGGCCCAGTCGACGACCCAGACGCCGACGCAGGCGACGACCCAGACGACGACGACGACGACGACGACGACGACGACGACGACATCGACGACGACACAGACGACCACACAGACGACGACACAGGCGACGACACAGACGACGACGACGACGACGACGACGACGACGACGACGACGACGACGACGGCCGCCCAGGGACCTGATTATCTTGGCGCGTTCTGACCAACATGTCGAGGCGGATCCAGCTTCGGCCACGAGTGTGCCCCCCGAGGCCCAACAGACACCCTGAGGCCAAATAACCTCCATCGTCGAGCTTCGATCCTCGACTCGGCGGCGACAGCGGCCGCGGCCGTGGCGACGGCGACGGCAGTGATAATGGCAGCGGCGGCGATAAAGACGACGATCCGCGGAGAGCTCGCAACCCTACCTCTTTCGTTGTGTTTTTGGTTTGCCTCTGGGCTGGGCCTGGTCTCAGGAGGCACAAGCCTCAAGAACATCTCTCGAGATGACGACGACGGCGGCGACGACGACTACGGCGACGGCGGCGACGACGGCGGCGGCGGCGGCGGCAGCGGTGGCGACGGCGACCGCGACGAAGAACGACGATAACCTGACGACGACGACGGCGGCGGCCACGGTGGCGGCGGCGACGACGACAACGACAGCGACGTTGGCGGCGGTGGCGGCGACTACAGCCAATACGATCCAAGAGTGGCAGCTTCTTGGGCTCATGAGCAAGCGGGCAAGCAAGGAGGCCCGTCGCCCAAACAGCGCAGTGGGCAGTTAATAACTCTCCGAACTGTACATACGGCAAGTGCCGACCATGGTAGTTTGGGGCGTCCGCGCTGGCCCTTGCGGTGCCACTGCCATTGTTCGGGGGAACGTACGACTCGAGTAAGCCGGAACTCGGGTTTGCCGAAGTTGTTTGACGAGCGCGTCCTGGATTTTGACGGTCCGGTGTTGGGTCTCGTCGTTTTCATGGTGGCCCCATCAAGCCAATCCGAGTCCCCCGTACCCGAGTCTTACGTCTCCCCGACGGTAGCACGAGGACGACGCGCTTGATGGACAGACTCCTGCACCACCCACCCGCGCGGCCGTGCTGCCGGCGCATGAGCGTCCCAGAGATCCGACGCTCCGACGACATTGGAGCGGCAGGTGTTTTTTGGCGTTGCCCGCCTCCAGAGGCCCTCGCTGGCCCTCGGGACCGTCGAAGAATGACTCCGGACGCAAAGCTCGCCCTGGGGAAGTGGTGCAGACCTCTGCAGAGGTCTTTCCGATGCGTGGGGCCCATGGGCCCCACGCATCGATCGAAAAAATTGGAGCAGCAGGACGTCTGGATTCAACGTGCCCCCCTGCCCCCGATCGCCAGCGGGGCGAAGTACTTCGGCCAGCCGACAGAGATCGACACATCGAGGCGCAGCCCGCCAACATGAGATCGGGGGCGCGGGGGTGTCCACAACAAGCAGACGACGACGACGACGACGACGACGACGACGACGACGACGACGACGCAGGTGGCGGCTGTGACCACGACGGCGACGACGCGACGACGCAGACGACGACACACACGACGACGACGACGACGACGACGACGACGACGACGACGATGGCACAGACGATGGCACAGACGACGACACGGCTGTCCACGACGCCCCGACCGACCTCGGCTCGCCAGGCCCGGCGCACTGCCGCTCGCCGGCGCCCGTGGACCTCGGCGGCGAGCCCGCGTGCGACGTCGGCTGCGGGGCGCCGCCCGCTCCGTTTCGCCCGCCGCCGCCCGCCGGCGGCCGCCCCTCGGCGGCGACGACGACGACACTCACCGCGACGATCACAGCGACGACGACGACGACGACGCTACGACGACGACGACGACCACGACGATCACAGCGACGACGACGACGACGCTACGACGACGACGACGACGACGACGACGACGACGACGACGACGACGACGACGACGACGACGCTACGACGACGACGGCGACGACGGAGACGACGATGACGGCGGCGGTGGCGGCGGCGGCTGCGGGGGCGGCGGCGAGGACCACCACGATTACCACGAGCACCGCGATCACCGCGATCACCACGAGCACCACGACGACACACGACGACGACGACGACGACGACGACGGCGAAGATCATGACAATGACGATCATCTCGACGAATACAACGACACAGACGACGACGACGACGACGACGGCCCTCATCGACCACGACGGCGGCTTGCGCATGGTGGCCCGGACGGCGCCGACCCCGACGACGACCACGGCGGCGACGACGACGGCGACGGCGACGGCGCCGCCGCCGTCGTCGGCGGCGGCGTCGCCGTCAGGGTCGCCGTCGGTGCCCTGCTCGCCATTCGCCACTCTCCTTCTCGTCGTCCTGGTTGGTCTGTGTCGTCGCCGCTGTCGTCGTCATCGTCGTCGTCGCTGTCGGAGTATGAGGAAGAAGGAGGTGGATCTAGGGGGAGGGGAGCTTGAGAAGGACCTGTTCTTCTCTTTCTCCCTGTCCCAATCATGGTCCCCCTTCCCCCTCCTCCCCTTCCTCCCGGTGTTCTCCCTCGTACCCCTCCTCGAATCTCGACCCTCCTCCTCCTCCTCTCCCGCTTCCTCCTCCCCCTCCTCTGTGTTTGTCTTGGTTTTCCTGCATCTTGGAGGCGACCGTGCTGTTTGTCCCCCTTGTCTCCTCTCCTCCGCCTCCTGCCCCACCCTCCGCTTACCGTCTCCCTGCCCCCCCTCCTGACCAGTAGACGCATCACATCAGAAATCGGCCTGCCAGCGAGTGCCTCCCACTGGAAGCTCTTTTTATCCCCCACTGGCCCCAGGGACCCACCGAAGCCCTGGGGCACCTCGGGCAGCTCACATCTCGACGAGGAATGCGCCCCAAGAGTTTTTTATAGCAAGATGCCTGATCGTATGTGTCTACTTTGCTCCTCCTCCTCCTGCTCCTCCTCCTCCTCCTCCTCTTCGTCCTCTTTGCTACGTCCTTCCCCTCCTCCCTGGCCACCGCGGCCTCTCAGCCCTACTCCTGCGCTCCAGTGCGGAGGCGACGACGGCGACAACGGTGACGTTGAAAGATCTCCCCGTCGCTGAACCCCCCCGCGCCCCCCCAAACCTGCTCCCAAGCGCGCTCTGACCATGGCCTCGAGGCGGCCCCGGCCGTGGCGGCGAGGGTCGGGACCGCGAGGGCGTCGCCAGCACGGCGCCTCGGACGGAGCCGCCGCCGCCGCCGTCGACGTCGCCGGACGGTCGATCCGCATGCCGACATGAGAGTTCCAGGCTGAAGCACTTGGCATCGCTCGGACGTGTGCATTTTTCCTTCGGCGAGGACCATCGAGGAGTATCCTCGATCATTTGGCGAGAAAGCCACGCACGAAACCAAACAAAACACAGGGAATGGACGTCCGAGCGATGGCGAGAGCAGGCACGCCCGAGTGAAACCGAAAAAGAAGCTCCGAAGAGCTGGCCAAGGCCCCGTGCTCGCGCTGTGGCGCCCAGTGCGTGCACCCCGCGGCCACAGGTCCCTGCCCGGATCCCGCCCCGCTCCGCGTGCAGGGGGCAGGAACGGCGGCGGCGCCGCCGCCGGCGTGGTCGCCGCCACCTTCGTGCGCCGCCGTCCGCCGGCTTCGGGTGCGTGCCTCGCCCTCGTCGTGTCCCGCCGCCCTTGCCGCCTCTGCCGCCGCCGTCGTCGCGCGGGCTCGGGCACGAGCCCGAGCCCGAGCCCGAGCCCGAGCGGACGACCAAAGACCGCGTCTGGGCCCGAGCCTGAGCTCGAGCCTGTCGTTCATCGGCAGCGGCAGAGGAACTTTGCCCTTTCCCGTCGTCCTGCGCGCTGTCCTGACCGTCGTCCTGATTGTTGTCATAAGCGTCGTCTTGATTCTCGGCCTTGCCGCCATCGCCCGTCGCGGGCGCCGCCCTCGTGCGCCATCTGTCGGCAGCGTCAGGCTAACGTCACCCTCTCCGTGACGACGATAATGAAGATGACGATGACGATGACGCGCGTCGTCCGTCGGCGGCGGCAGGCGGCCGTGACCGTTTGGCGGCCGCGCTGATTTTTGGATCGGCTCTGGACCCCCCTCCCTGGCGCGCCGCCAGCGCACCAGCGGCGCTGCCAGCGGGGTCCAGTCCCGATCCGAGCAGTCCGCGAGGGCCTCTGATGCCTGCGTAGGCTTCTGCTTACGTGTGCACTCTCGCCTCTTGATGCCTCCGGCGGCGGACGGCGCACTTCGTCCTCGTCGTGACCCCCCCCCGTGCTGCCGCACGCCGCCCCCGTGCGGACCCGAGTCGGAGCCCGAGCCAGCTCGAACCGCCCCTGCCGCCCCCGCCGTCTCCGCTCTCTTGGGTGATCCTGGAGGAGAAGGAGGAGGAGGAGGAGGAGGAGGAGGAGGAGGAGGAGGAGGGAGGAGGAGAGGAGGAGGAGGAGGAGGAGGAGGGAGGAGGAGGGAGGAGGAGGAGGAGGAGGGAGGAGGAGAGAGGAGGAGGAGGAGGAGGAGGAGGAGGAGGAGGAGGAGGAGGAGGGAGGAGGAGGAGGAGTGAGGAGGAGGAGGAGGAGGAGAGGAGGAGGAGGAGGAGGAGGAGGAGGAGGAGGAGGAGGAGTAGGAGGAGGAGGAGGAGGAGAAGTGAGGAGGAGGAGGAGGAGGAGGAGGAGGAGGAGGAGGAAAAGGAGGAGGAGGAGGAGTGAGGAGGAGGAGTGAGGAGGAGTGAGGAGGAGTGAGGAGGAGTTTGCCCCTGCCCCATGGCCCGAGTTTGGGGCGATTCTGTGTGCCGCCCTCGCGGCGGCCAGCCCAGGGGGGACGTGAGAGGGAGCGCGGGCCTTCTCTCGGAAGGCACCGGAAGTCCCCCCGGCCTATGCCGAGCAGTTCTCCGAGCCGTCCCCGGGGGCGCAGAGACACCTTTTGGAAGGCGCGCGAGGCCTCCCGAGAAGTCCCCGCCGCCTTCTGCGACGGCCCCCTCCTTCTCTTCTGTCGGGCGGTGTCCCCCTGCAGGGGGATCTGCGACGAAGCATACAAACATACCCCAAAAATGCCCCAAAAGGTCCAACAATATTCAAAAAATAGTCCCCAGACTATTTTTAGATTAATTTTGGATTATTTGGGGGGTATTTTGTATGTTTCGTCGAAAATCCCCCTGTATGGGGGACAGGCCCGACATAATCCTTCTCCACTCTCCCCCCCCCTTCGCTCGCCGCCGAGCCATGCCTCGGGCCTCCGGCGGCCGTTCGGGACGAGCCAAGCACCCCCGGAACGCTGTCGACGAGGCGCAGCTGACACAAGCCACCCCGAGGCCGGAAAGCAGGCCGCCGAGGGCTGGCACGAGCAAACACCTCCGAGATCGTCGATCCTGGAGCCTCCATCGCCCTTCGCGCGCCGCCGATCTCCTCGACCTCCTCCTCCTCCTCCTCCTCCTTCTCCTCCTCCTCCTCCTCCTCCTCTTCCTTCTCCTCCTGCTCCTCCTCCTCCTCCCCCTCCTCCCCCTCCTCCTCCTCGCAGGCGAACTTCACCCTCTTCGTGACCCGCGGGGGCGCGGCGCTGTGGGGCTGCGGCAGCAACCGCTGCGGGCAGCTGGGCCTCGGCGCCGCCGACCGCGCCGCCCACGAGGCCCCCGCGGCCGCCGCCTCTTCGGGCGCTCTCGGTGCCCGCCGCTCGATGACGTCGTCGATGACGTCGTCGTCGTCGTCGCCGTCGCCGTCGTCGTCGTCGCCGTCGTCGCCGTCGTCGTCGTCGCCGCCGCCGCCGCCGCCCGTCGTCCCTCGTCGTGCCTCGTCGTCTCCGTCGTCGCTCGTCGCGCTTCTGCCTCGTCGGCCCTTCTGGAGGCCTTCCCCCTCGGAGGTCCTGCGCGGCGGCGCCGGCCGCCGCTCGTTTTTGCCTTGGCCCTCTGCCGGTCGTCGGGGTCGTCGTTCGTCGATCGCCGTTCGCCGTGTGTCGTTCGCCGTTCGACGTTTCGGGAGCGCCGTGCGGCGCTGGTCGCTCGCTCGACGCTCGTCGCTCGCCGCCGCTTCTTGCCATTCGTCACTTGTGGCCGTTCGTCGTTCGGCGCTGCCCCTTCGCCGTCCGTCGTCGTCGCCCTTCTCCCTCTGCTCCCTGCGTTTGAGCGTGTTTCTTCATTGCTCGGGCCATACGCGCGCGCGTCGTGCCCCCCCCCCCCCGCCCCCCCCCCCTAACCGTAGCGCTCCGGCACCCAGTGCGCCCCAGGCACTGCCGCCGTGCGCATAGTAATCCGCATAGGAATCCGAAGAGGGATTCGCATAGGCATCCGCACAGAAATTCACACAGGGATCCGCATGGGGATCACATAGAGTCATAGAGATATCCATCGGGAACAGCATGGGGCTCCGCATGGGGTTTCCCAGGGGTCCTTATAGAGATCCGCATAGGGATCTGGATAGGGATCCGCACAGGGATCCGCGTGGGGATTCGCAGAGGGATCCGCATAGGCATCCACATAGGGATCCGCATAGGGATCCACATAGGGATCCGCATAGAGCTTCGCATAGGCATCCGCATATGGATCCGCACAGGGATCCGCATAGGCATCCGCATGGGGATCCGCATAGGGATGCGCATAGGGATCCCCAGGGGGGTCCTCACAGGGATCTGCATAGAGATCCGCATAGGGGTGGCGGTCGCGGGCAAGTTGTGGTGTTCTCAGACAATTGTGGTGCTTGTAGTAGCGAGAGAGAGAGAGAGAGAGAGAAAACAATAGGAGGAGATGGACGACGACGACGACGACGACGATAATGGAGGAGGGAGGTAAGGAGCATACCTCTTACACGCCACGTGGAGGTAACGACGCTTTCGCAGGCATGTGCTCGCCACAACTCCTCATCGCTCTTCGTCGTCGTCGTCGTCCTTGCTCTTCGTTGTCGGTCGTCGTGGCTTGTCGTCGTCGTCGTCGCTCGTCGTCGTCGTCGTTGTCGTATTCGTTGTCGTCATCATCTTCGTCGTCGTTGTCGACGGTCGTCATCTCTCGCGGGCGCTTGTCGCTGTCAAACGCCTTCGAATGCTTTCGAGGGCCTCTGGAGGCTTTCGTATGACCTTGAGAAGGCCTCTGGAGGCTTCCAGAGACTTCAGGGGGCCTCCGGAAGCTTCGGGCAACCACCAGAGACCTCTGGAGGCTTCGTCGTCGTCGTGGTCGCTTGTCGTCGTCGACGACGTCCTCGTCGTCGTCGTCGTCGTCCTCGTCCTCGTCGTCGTCGTCGTCGTCGGCATCGTCGTCGTGGTCGCTCGTCGTGCTCGCTCGTCGTCGTCGTCGTCCTCGTCGTCGCTATCGTCGTCGCTCGTCTTCGTCGTCGTCGTCGTCGTCGTCGTGCGCGCGGACGCTGTGGTGGCGCCAAAACGGCACGGCGGGGGGAGGGGGGGCGTTCCGATTTGCCCCCCCCCCCCCCCCCCCCCCCCGCCGCCCCCTCCCCCCATCACGCCCGTTATCGCCGCGAATAAAGAAAAGCGCTCTTTTCTCATTTGCTTCATCTTCCTCCGCCTCTTCAACCACATCCTCTCCTTCTTCCCTCCGTCCTCATCGTCCCTTTTTCACAACGCTCCTCCAGCATATCATCCTCTTCTTATCCTTTTTGCTCCTCCATCACCTCCTCGTCATGATCATCGCCGCTTTTCCTCAGGAGCTGGAGACGGACAGGGAGCAGGAGCAGCAGCAGGAGGAGCAGGGGGAGGGAGAGAAGGACGGAGCGAGGGAGGACGAGAGGGAGGAGGAACGGCGCCGAGGAAGGCAGTGGAGACGAGAGGAGGAGGAGGAGGAGGAGGAGGAGGAGGAGGAGGAGGAGGAGGAGGAGGAGGAGGTGGCGGAAGGAGGAGGAGGAGGAGGAGGAGGAGGAGGAGGAAGAGGCGGAGGAGGAGGAGGAGGAGGAGGAGGTGGAGGAGGTGGAGGAGGAAGGCCAGGACCAACAGGACCCCCCCCGCCGAAGGCGCCCGAGCGGCTCGACTTCCCGAGGAGGGGCGACGAGATCGTAGGCCTTCGGCCGCTGGGGGGGGGGGGGGGGGGGCACCGCCGCCGCCGTCGCGTCCACCTCCGCCCGCTCACTCTCGGCGCCGCCGACGCTGGCCGGGCTCGCCGGAGATGAGGCTTACCACGACGATCCACGGCACGAACACTCCAGGTTCACAGCAATGCGCAACCTCGTGTTGCTCTATCACCTATACCTAGAGGTTAAGCCTACGGCTTCGTCTACAAGATCACCTACTTCCACATACTCCATGCACAAGACCTGCCACTCTCGGCGCCGCCGACGTCGCCGCTTCGTCGGCCCGGCGACGTCGGCGCCGCCCTCGTGGCCGCGGCAGTCTTGATCGTCTTGCGCTCCCCGAAATCTCACGTGTTGAAAGTCAGAAGGCGGAGTTTTTTTTCTAAATTTTCGGCCTCTAGGGGCCCTCGCTGGGCCCAGGGACCGACGAAAAACGACTCAGGATGAAAAGCCGGTCCCGGGGAATGGGTCGAGCCTTCTGGGGACCCCGTATGTATGGAAAAAATCACGCAATCGGATCTATGGCTTCGAGGTTCGAGGTGTTCGGATGTTCGTTCGTCGGCCCTCGGCGGCTTGTTTTCCGGCCTCGGGGTGGCTTCCATCAGCTGCGCCTCATCGAGAGCGTTCCTGGGGGTGCCGGGATTGCCCCGAACGACGGCCAGAGGCCAGAGGCCCGAGTTATGGCTCGGCGGCGAGCGAGGGGGGAAGGGAGACGGAGGAGGCCTTCTCAGAAGGCGGCGGGACTTGTCAGAAGCACTCGCGGCTTCTGGGAGGTTGTCTGCGTCTTCGGGGAAGGCTTGGAGAACTTCTCAGACGGGGGGGGGGACTTGCGAGCCTTTTGAGAAGGCTCGCCCCCTCTCACTGCCCCCCTTGGCTGGCCCGCGAACGATTGGAGAACCAGGGAGCTGAAGGTCGGGAGCGGTCGGGCAACGGCAGGCAGGGACTGGCGCAGGTGGGATGCATCGACCCCTACTCGCCCACTCATCGCCGAGGTGGGCCCGATTCCCCACCCCGCCCGGAGACGTGCGGCTTGCGATCGGGGGCCAATCGCCGATCTATCGGCTATGCATCGCCGGTTCCTGGTCGATGCTTCCCCGCCTGAGCCAGTCCCCCACACTACAGTGCCGCTTTCAATACATGCTCCGCGTGCGGATCATGTGTTCAAAATGCAGGGATCTAGTATTTAATAACAACGATGAGTTCATGCCTACATTCATTCATAAATGAATCATGTATTAACCGTGTGTAGAGAAAACTGCCCTGTATCCCGGCCCCGATCAGTATGCCCAGTGTCTCCAGACCTCCCGCGCGGCGCGCTTCCCGCCTCGAGCGCAGAGCCTCGAGGGGGCGCCGCGTGGTCCGCTGCCGGGCCAGGGCGTGCCGCCGCGGCACGCCCGCTTCGGCTCCGAGCCGCTTCTATCTCGAGCTCTGGTTGCCAGCTGCGGTTCCGGTCCGAGTCTGATGGGCCTGTTCTCCACCACCACCACTATAAGTTGGAGGGGGAGGGGGTCCTCCTCCTCTTCCTGCTCCTCCTCCTCCTCCTCCTCCTCCTCCTCCTCTCGTCCTCCTCCTCCTCGTCCTGCCCCCCTCCTTCCCCCCTCCAACTTCTGGTGGTGGCGGTGGAAAACAGGCCCATCAGAGTCCCCCTCCCGGCTTCCGGATCTGCGAACCGGTTCGAGATTCCGATGTCGGCTCTGACCCGGCGCTCCCGCTTGCAGCCGATGCTGCGTGCGCGGGACCGGGAGGGTTAAGAGGGAGGGCGAACGGAGAACAGGCTTAACAAGCAGCTCGTTCGCAGGCGTACTGGTCGTGGGCGGAAAGCAAAGCCACACGGCCTCGCGGGCCGTGCCCCGTGGCCGCGGCACCGCGGACGCGGGGCGCTTTTCGGGAAAAGCCCCGCGCGGATCGTGCCCGTGCGACCGCGTATCCGGCGCGCCCCGGAATCGAGACCGCAAGGGGCGCGGATATGGATCACTGGTCGTTGAAAGTGGGCAGCACGAAGGCTTTGCGGCTGGTGCCGCCGACTTTGCAGGGGGACCTCCCTTTGGACCCCCGCTCGCCGACCTTGCAGGGGGAGCTCTCCTTGGACCCCTGCTGGCGAATCCCCACAGGCCTCCCCGGGACCCGCCAGGACTCCGGGGGGGGGGAGGGGGGGCGGCACTCTGGCCCGGGACCCCGCCCCCCCCCCACCCCACCTCCCGCGGGAGCGCGCCCCAGAATCGAGACCGCGAGGGTACGGGTGTGGGTCGCTGGTCGTTGAAAGTAGGTATACTTGGGGACTCCCAGGTGCCAATCTAATGGAGGATGACGATTAATGAATGACCGGGGGTCGTGTTCACGCGGCGGCGCCCGGGATGACCATTCGAAGAAACCGGCCGCGGGCTGGAGAACTATTTTTTTAATCGTTCTCCTTCGGTCAGAAAAGTATGCAGAAATAGCAGAACATTATTTTTGTTAGTCGTTCTCTCCCATTTTTTAGTAATCGTCATCCCGCATTCTTTTGGGACTCCCTGTCCCTCTTCCCTCCTCTTCAGGGGGGCGGGCGGGTCCCAGCGCCTTCCCACGCCATGCCCCTGCCCACTTCCCCCCCTCCCCTCGATCCCCTCCCCTCCCCATCTGCCCTTCCCTCTCCCCTATCCCCCCTCTCCCCCCCCCCCCTTCCTCCCCCCTCTCCCCTCTCCCCCCTTCCCCTCTCCCCTCTCTCCCCCCTCCTCCACTCCTCCCCCCCCCCTGCTTCCCCCCCCCTCCCCTCGCCCGGTCGAGGGGCAGCAGGCGGCAGCAGCGCCCCGAGGTCGAGGGAGGCCCCGGGGGCGAGGGCGCGGGCCCTCCACTCGAGGGGCGCGTGCGGGCTCGACGTGCGGCCCCTCCCCGGGGCGGGCGCCGCCTCCTCGAGGGCCCTCGGCCGGGGGCCCCCCGGGTCTCGTCGGTCGTCGTCGTCGTCGTCGTCGTCGTCGTCGTCGTCGTCGTCGTCGTCGTCGTCGTCGTCGCCGTTCAAGGCGATCCGTCTCGTGGTCGTCGTCTTCCTCCTCCTCTCCTCCTCCTCCTTCCTCCTCCTCTCCTCCTCCTCCTCCTCCTCCTCCTCCTCCTCCTCCCTCCTCCTCCTCCCTCCTCTCCCCTCCTCCTCCTCCTCCTCCCCCCTCCTCCCCTCCTCCCTCCTGCTCCTCCAGCCCGGGCTCAGATCGCCTCCGCCGGAGGTCGCGAGCCCAAGCCAGGAGGCCCCCCGCCTCTGCCCTCCCCCTCTTCGCCCCATTCCCCTTCCACTCAGACCGCGCCATGTCCGTGCCTCCCTGGCGGGCGGCCCCGCGCCCACGGCGTGCTGCACCGGAGCGACGTGCCCAACGCCTGCGGGCCGAAGGCCGAGCCGTGCAGGTGCTCCTTCGCTGCTTCGACGAGCTCGGGCGGCATCGTGGAGGTTGTCCCTCCCGGCTGGGGGCGGCGCTGGCCACAGCCCTTCGTCCACCGCGGGCGGAGCCAGCCAGCGTCCGGAGTTCTGGTCAGCTTCAGGCGCTCCAACAAGTTTTTGCCCAGCCAACCGCAGGAGTTCCAGCCTCAGGAGTACCAGCAGCGGGAGTACACGCAGGAGGGGTACCAGCAGCAGGTGTACAGCCAGACCGGTCCCCTGCCGCCGCTGGAGTATCTGCAGCTGGCGTACCAGCAGGCGGAGTTTTTGCAGCAAAAGTGCAGCCAGTCCGTTCCCCTGCAGCCGCAGAAGTTCCAGAAGCAGGAGTTCCAGCTGGAGGAGTTTCAGTCCGGTCCCCTGCCGCTGCAGGAGTACCAGCAGCGGGTGTACCAGCAGGCGGAGTTCTTGCAGCAGGGGTGCAGCCAATCCGGTCCCCTGCAGCCGCAGGAGTACCAGCAGCAGGGGTACCAGCAGATGTACCAGCCCGGCCCCCTGCCGCCGCAGGAGTACACGCAGCAGGAGTTCAGCCAGCCGCAGGAGCTCCACTTCAAGCTGTAGCGCCCTCTTTTTTGCCCCACAGCCCTGCTGTGGCTCCAGGCCACACGCACTTCAGAGATGGCCAGTCTTTTTGGCTTTTTCGGCCCGTCGTAGCGGCCGCCCGGCAGGCGCCGCCTCTTGACGCAGTCACAGTCGCGCGGCAGCGCGGCTACAGTCCCGCGCCGCGCAACCTCGCCAACCGGCCTGAAGCAGCAGGCCACAGCGCACAAGTGCTTGCAGCGGTGCTCCTCGAGACTCGAGGCCTCGTGCACCCTGCCAGGGCACTGCTTGCTCGAGGCGGCCCTGGAGACTGACGCTTCGCTCTTTTTGAGGGGGGGGCCATGTCTGGGGCGTTCATGCGCAGCCTACTCCGAGCCGCTTGTTCACCTGACAAAAGTTGATTGGCCCCCCTCCACCTAGCAGCCGGCCTTCTTCAGGCTGCTGGACGGGTTCGTCTGGTCCCTGGGCGTACCCTCGACCCCGTTCAACGGGGTGGGCGGGCGTGAGGGACCCGATGTGCTCGTCCTCTCTCTCCTCCCCTCATGGCCTACGATTGTCCGGTCCCTCCTCCCAGGCAGTGCTTGCGATGTTGCATTTTTTCTCACGTACGTTGTCATTGCTTCACATTGCTATTGTTCATCCCTCGTTTCACCTTACAATTGCCCGGTTCACAATACAGCCACCTGGGACACCCACCGAGGTGCACGCCAGCTGCTCACCCCCGCGTCAGCAGCGGCCTCAGAGTCCCGCTCGTTTTCCCAGGCAATCCTACCTCGCGCTTGCAGTTTGGGATGCTTCTTCAGGCAGCGCATGCAGACATCGACGTGCGATGCAATGGTGGCGCGCTCTGGGCAGCGACCGTGCTCTCCCCAAAGACGGGCCTGCCCCCTAAGGGGGCGGATCACACGGGAGAGTACGGCACGAACGTACGGCCAGCAGTTTCTTCCCTCAACTCGCACTTAGTTTTTCCGCCATCAGTCACACAGGGCAAGGCTTGCAGCTCTCATCTCAAGAGCTCCGCGGTATCTTCAGTGGACCCCCCTCCATCCTCCTCCTCGATTATCCCTCCTCCCTCCTCCCCCCTCCCCCAGCGCGCTGCTCAGCAGCAACAAGGCGGTTCGACCGTCCACGGCCATTTTGGCCCTCCGTCCAGCTCCTCCTTTCTCCTCACGGTCTACTTAATTTGGGTAGGCATTCCCAGGCCAGATACTTCTTTTCTAGCCCTGCATTGCTCTCTGCCTCGAGGGCTGCCCTGCTATGGGCAACGAAGCAGGGCCCCGCTGATGTCTCTCTTCGCACGGCGCTGCAAACTCCTCCTCTCTCTTATATGATTCCTCTCTTCCCCTCCCGCAGCGCCAATACCTCTCTCCCGACAGTTTTCGGGACGAGAGCGGAAGCAGCTCAGCGTCCATGCTCTCGGGCTTCCCGTGTGCAGCCTGTGCCAGTCCTGTTGGCCGCTGCGCTCAAGCTAAGTTGCAACGAGCTTAGTACAGTCAAAAAAGCCTGCTCCTCCTCCTGCTCCTCCTCCTCCTCCTCCTGCTCCTCCTCCTCCTCCTCCTCCTCCTCCCTCCTCCTACTCCTCCTGCTCCTCCTCCATTTTCCTCCTCCTCCTCGTCGCCGCTCGGGCGGGGGAAGACAAGGGCGCTACTGAAGGACCCCTTTGAAAAGCCCGTTTCGGAGCCAGCAGGGGCCCGAAAGGGGCCCTGGCGCGCAACGTGCCCCTTGAGGGCCCTGCTCTTCACCCCTCATCAAAGGGGCCCTGGGACACACAAACAAGTACACACAAATAAAAGGATTCCATATATTTTCCCATGTGTTCTGGGTTTCTGTCTTCTCCACCACTTCCCATAGTTTCCCATGTTGTCTGGGGGGTCGGCGATGAATTGTGTCTGTGTGTTTCGTTCCCTCCTGACTCACTCAGATCCCCCCCCGTTGCCACCCGCCCGAGCCGCACTGATGGGCGACCCGGGTCGTTCTGCGAGGCAGTCTCCCGCGGCCGGGGCCTCCGAGAGGTCTACCCCGAGCCGTGCGGTGGCGGGCCGCGCCACGGTGAGGTCGCTGGGGGCTCCGAGGTCGCCCAGCACGCGTCCGTCACCACACGGTTTTGGGGCCCCAGCTCGGGGCGTCGCGTGACGGCAGGGCGGTACCTGAGGCGTTCCAGAATCGGCTCCGTTTTCGAGGGCCGAAGGAGTTGGCATCTCTTCCTCGGCGGAAGGCGGCGGGAGGCCAGCGGAAGTACAACGAGGCCGCCTCTGCTGGCGGAAGCCAGCGGAAGGACGGCCGAAGCTGGCGGAAGTAAACATCGGCCTCCTCAAGAGAGGGCAAGTTTTTGTTCGTGCAGGGCTCCTAGAACCCGCTAAGCGGGGCCCCTACTTTGGCTGGTGAAGAAACGTGCGCCGGGCAAATGGGAGCTCCATTTCTTCGCCCCCCCATTGCCCAGACCCCCGATGTCATGATGTTTTCACAACCGGGACTGGTTTTTCATCCTGCGCCGTCTTTTCACGCTTCCGAGGCCCAGCAAGGGCCCCCCCAGAGGCCGAAACCAGTGCCAATCCTCCCGTCATGGTTTTTTCATGACACGAGGGGGTCTGGGTCATGGGGGGCTGCAGGAAGTTGCACCTCTTGCGCACCTCGGAAAGGGCCCCGAGGGGACCCCCCCCCGGGGCCCAAAATGGGGCACGAGGGGAAGTGCGCGCTTCCTCGCCCCCCTGGCGTTTTGCTGCGCGGCCCGGCCCGTCCGTGAGTTTCTGCCAGCGCCTGCAGCGGCGGCCGCGTCGGCGGCAGTGGCGCCGGCGGCGACGACGACGACGACAGCGAAGGCAGCGACGACGACGACCCACGTCCTCTGGCTGCCTCGGGGAGGGCAAACAACGCCGCAAAGGTGTCGATCCTCAAGCGTCGAGCCTCGACCCGTCCTCAGGAATGACACCTGGGCTTGCCCCGAGGGCGCGTTCTGGCCGGAATTTCGAGATGGATGAGGCCGCGCAGAGCACACCAACACCATACAAAAACTTCGATCCTCCAGACTCGTCGGCAGCAGCGGCAGCGCCTCGAACCTCCAATGTCGATAACTCCGACCTCGAAGCTCGACCCTCGCCGCCGCCGCCGGCCGCAGCGCGAAGCCACGGAGGCGGCGGCGGCCTGCGCGACGGCGGCGGCAGCGGCCTCTGGAGGCACCCAGAGGGCAGCCGTGCACGCTCCGAAGCCTCGCCCTGCGAACCTCATACTCGAACCCCGAACCTCGAACCTCGAACCCCGAACCCCGAACCCCGAGGCCTCGCTCTGCGAACCTCATCCTCGAACCCCGAACCCCGGACCTCGATCTTCGACCCTCGAATCCTCGACCCCCGAGCCTCGAGCCTCGACCCTCGAGCCTCGACCCCGGTTCCTCGACCCTCGCACCTCGACCCTGAGCCTCGATTCCTGGCCCTCGAACCTCGAGCAGCGGCCCTCGAACCTCGGCCCTCGAGCCTCGGCGGCGGCCGCAGCGCGAGGCCTGGCCTGCGGCTCCAACCACGCGCTGTGCCTGACGCGCGGGGCCAGCACCGCCCAGCCGCGTCGGCCCAACGACCACGATGCCGGCCGCCCGGTCGGGCTTGGGCCCGGGCGCCGTTCGCCGTCGCCGGCGTCGCCGATGCTGGCGTCGTCGTCGATGTCGTGGTCTTCGACGTCGTCGTCGCCGTCGCCGCCGCCGCCGTCGCCATCGTTGTTGTCGCCTTCGCCAGCATCGTCGCCGTCGCCGCGAGCCATGGGTCGTCGCTGCAGCCGCCGCAGCCGTCGTCGCCGCCGTCGTCGTCGATGTCGTCCTCGTCACTGTCACCGTCTTCGTCGCCGCCATCGTCGTCGTCGGTGGGGGGAGGAGGCGAATGGCAGGAGGGAGCGAGGAGGAGGAGGAGGGGGAAGAAGGAGGGAATATGACGTGGTCATGAGAAAGGGGGGTGTTGGTGAACGGCCATGATGGCGGGGAGGGAGAGTGGGGGGACGAGGAGGTGCAAGAGGAGGAGGGACGGGAGGGGGCGAGAATGGCGAGGGGTAGAAAGCGGGGGAGCGGGAGGTCCTCCTCCTCCTGCCAATGACGCTGCTCCGAGGGGGTGTTGGAGGATAGGTCGGAGGAGAGGAGGAGGAGGAGGAGGAGGAGGAGGAGGAGGAGGAGGAGGAGGAGGAGGAGACGAGGAAGGGGTGACGAGGAGGAGGAGGAGGAGGAGGAGGAGGAGGAGGAGGAGGTGGAGGAGGAGGAGGAGGAGGGCGTGGACGAGGACGAGGACGAGAACGAGGACGAGGGCGCCAACGGCGAAACGGTGACAACGGCGAGGCCGAGGACGAGGACGACGGGGGGACGGCGGGGAGGCGGAGGGGGAGGGGCACGAGGAGCGGCAGGGCAGATCGCAGGAGGCCGCAGAGGGAGGAGGAGGAGGAGACACGCGACGACGACGCGGTGACGAGGTCGGGTCACGTGGACGAAGAGGATACCAGATTGAAGTCGGGCCTGTCCCTCTACAGGAGGAATATTCAAAAATAGTTTAAACAAATAGTATAGGGACGATGTTTGATTGTTTTTGCCTATTTAGGCGGCATTTTTGGAGTACTTTTTATTTTTCGCCCCAAATCTCCCTGTAGGGGGACACGCCCGACTTGATACCAGATGACCCAGACTCCCCCCCCCCTGTTTCGCTATTCTCAGCCTCTGGGGGCTCTCCCCGGGCCTCGGGAAAGTCAAGGACGACTCGGGATGAGAAGCCGATCCAGGGGAATGGGTCGAGACCTCTGGGGCATCGGCGTTGTGAAAAAGTCATGCGCACGTTGGCGGCGCGCGCGCACGTGTGCGTGAGCTCGCCCGGTCTTTGGAGGTGCGCAGGTTCAGCAGCGCTGCCTCGCTCGCAATAAGGAAGCATATGTTTCTGTTCGTCGCTGGCGGCCCCTCGTCTGCGAGTTTACTTTGTGGTCGGATTTCAGGGCGCCTGCATGCGTACGACTTTGCGCGCACGGGGCGCTGTTGGCCCTAGAATGTCTTTGGAGTCAGCTGGAGTCGGAAGCCAGACACTCATGGTGTACAGCTTGCACAACGGTGCTGATCAGAGAGCCTTTCGTAAACCCAGGGCAGGCAGATGATGTTTGATGAGAAAGAAGTCGGAATAAGTGCTGGCTCGACCTCACTACGCGGTGCTTCGGAGCAAAAGCGTGGTTGCGCGCGCGTGTGTGCGTAGGCGCATGCGTTTCTCGGGGGGTCGCAGGTTGAGCAGCGCTGCCTCGCAGGGAAGCCCGTTCTTTTTGTTGGTGGCCCCACGGCTTCACTACGGTCAGGAACTTTGGCTCAGCGTGTTGAGCCGCCGGTTCTGGCCCACCACGTTTCGGCGCGACACGCTATCCACGTCCCTTCTCCGAGCATCAACGTCCCGAGCCTGTCCAGGCCTCCCGCCCCGCGGAGCGGAGTGACATGCCACCCGCTCACAGGGCATGGCGTGTCGTCGGGGCCGCCGCTGCGACACGCCAAGCAGAAGTTCCTGACCGCAGCGCGTCGGCGGAGAAGCGTGAGCGCGCGCGCACGCGTGTGCGTGAGCGCGTGCGGTCCTCGGGAGTGAGGAGGATGAGGAGGAGGACGAGGAGGAGGAGAAGCAGGAGGAGGAGGAGAAGGGCGTCGTTTCAGCAGCGCTGCCTCACAGGGAAGCCAGGTTCCATTGCCTGTGGGCGCCCCTGCGCCCGAGACGCCGCCAGGCTGTGCCTGGCGTGAGCACGCGCGCGCGAGGGGGGCCGCCCCCCCCGTCCGCGGTAGGGTCGTCTGGGCCTACATCTTGTTGCTGTTGCGAAGCCTCGTGACGAGCGCATGAGCAGTTCAGGCGAGCCAGCGCGGCGCGCAATGCCTCCGCACAGCTGTCTTCCAGCTGTCTGCTGGGATGGCATCTACATTCTCTCTCTCTCTCTCTCTCTCTCTTTTTCTCTCCCTGGGAAAACCGCAAACGTCGCAGACGGCAGCTTCAAAATCACCGCTGGATGGACCTCACCGGCGCGTCGGAGAAAGCGCGCGCGCACGCGAGGGGGCCGCGACCCCACCGGCCGCGGCCAGGTCGTCTGGGCCTGGGGCTCCGCGGCCGCGGGCCAGTGCGGCCGCGCCCACGGCGAGGCGCGGCTCGCCTCGGCGCGCGGCCGGTGCCGTTGCCGCTGGCCCTGCCGCTCGCCATCGCCGTCGCCGCCGTCGCTGTCGTCCGTCGTCCGTCGCCGTCGCCGTCTGTCGTCCATCGCCGTCGCCGTCCGTCGTCCGTCGCCATCGTCGTCCGTCGTCCGTCGCGGTCGCCGTCCGTCGTCCGTCGCCGTCGGCTCTTCGAGTCGGCTGGGGTTCGAGGTGGCCCAGCACGGGTTCTGGCGAGCAGGAAGGAAGGGCGAGGCTCGAGGAGTTGGGCTCGAGGAAGGTTTCTTTAAAATTTCTCTCGGCCTCCCAGGGCACCGTCAGAAACGGATCCGGGGCGAAAAGCTGCACCAGGTGGACCCCAGATTGACCCTTTGCCCCCCCTCCCTAGACCGATCTCCGCGAGGCCCGTGCAGCTCGGACCCCACGGCGGGCCTCCCAAGTCGACGTCGCCGCTGTCGTCCGGCTCTCGTCACCCAGGGACCGTCGCCCGTTGTCGGCGTCGGCGTCGGCGTCGTCGTCCGTCGCCGTCGCCGTCAAGGACCCTGCGGCTGGGCAAGTCGATCACCAAGGTCAATCAAGCAGTGGCGAAGCGTCCCGGCTCGCCTATAGCCCCACCAAACAATGTTCTAAGAACCTTTTGTGGTTCCCACGAAATGTTTTTACAGCATTTCTGGCTGGGACTGTCTTGTTTTAGCACATCGGGTTTGTGTTCTAAGAACCTTGTTTTTGTTCTTAGAACATGTTTGGGTTCTAGGACTAGGAACATTTCGTGGTATGACTATAGGAATGCCGGGACGGTCGGTCCCTGCTCAAGTCAAGGGCCTCACAGCTGTGAAGTGAGCCCACATGGGCCTTGCACAGTCCCTCCTCCTGCTTGCGAGTCGTCGGCCTGGACCAGCAGCCCAGTATTGCAGCTGTTTCTGGCAGAAGCTCGGCATCGCTCGGACGTGTGTGTTTTTCCTTCGGCGAGGACCATCGAGGAGCATCCTTGATCATTTGGCGAAGAAACCACGCACGAAACCGAAAAACGCACAGGGAATGGCCGTCCGAGCGATGGCCAGGAAGTCGCCGCGCGGCGCCGAGACCGGGGGAGGGCACGGCGGCCTGCCCGATCGGCTGCCGGGCCGCGGCTCGGGCCCTGGGCGGCCGCCCGGAGGGGGGGCCGGTTCTCGGGCGACGGCCGCGCGGCCCGCGACGGGGCGCAGGGAAGCGCACCCGTGGGCCTGGGGCACCCCCGCGAGCCCTCGAGATACAGTCGGGGCGTTGACCTAAGGAACCCTAAATCAGGAACGAGGCCCTTTTTTTCTTTCAGTATAAGTTGAACTTCGATTCCCCATCGAAAGCCTAGGGACAACCTAAGGCGAGCTGCGAAACAATTAAGGAACACGGAGCCCCTTCCCAACGAAAAGGGTTCCTTGTTCAGCGCCCCGACTGTATGCCCGGACAGGATCGCGTCGTGAAGCAGTCAGGGCGGGAGGTTTTTGGCTATTTTCGGCCCGGGGGGGCCCTCGCCGGGCCTCGGGACCGTCAGAAAACGGCGCAGGACGAGAAACCGGCCCCAGGGAAAGGGTCGGGGCCTCCAGGGGCGCCGTCCTGAAAGACTCAGGACGTCGCGTGTCTGGGTGTCGAACACCTGGTGATCGTTTTTTTGTTTTGCAATTGTTCTGCCGACCGGCGCGGGCCCTCGCCCTCCCTCCCCCCCAACGGAGCAGATCCTGGCCGTCTTCTGCCGCCTGTTGCAGGCGGGCGGAGTTTCCCCCGCAGGACGCACGGCTGCAAACAGTCGCGTGAAGCAGAGGCCTGGAGCCCCCCCCCGTCGGCCCGACGTCGAAACGCCGAGTGAGAGAACGTTCACGAGCAAGAGGAGAACAGCGTTGGCGACGGCGGCGACGTTGAAGCCGACTTCGGCGGCGACGCCGACGGCGACGGCGGCGTTCCGAGGAAGCAGCCGAAGGCCCCCGCATCGGGGGCGTCCAGGAGGGGGGGGAGAAGACTATGGGGTGATGATGTTCCCATCTATTTTGGCCTTTGCCTTCCAGAAAAAAATCGAGCGCCAAGAGAGCAGATCAACATTGGGCGGTATTCGCGCGTCGGGCCCCCGAGAGGCGAGATTCGTTCGGCGCCTCGCCGGCGCGTCGGGCAGGACCTGCTTCGATGCTTTCAAGGGGGGGCTCGAGATTGTTTCTGGGATGTGGCACTCAAGTGCGATGGGGGCAGCAGAAGTGCAGGGGCAGAAAATATCACGGCGGGGGCCCCGACACCTCCCAGATCCGTGGGCGTCCGCCACACCGCCGACCCCTCGGGGAACTGGCGCTTGTTGCGTGCTGCTCCCGAGGGCCTCTTGTGCGCCTTTTGCGGGGCTTCTTGGCGCTCCTTTGGGCCGTCACGGGGGCCTCTTGGGGGCCTTTTCGGGGCGCCTTGGGCTGACATTCTCAGCATTCGCCGTGCGCGCATGGGGAATGGGGCGAGAGCCCGCGTACACAGGCAGAGGGCATCTATCAAAACACCCAACAAATCGCCGTCGGCAGATCGCGCCACCGCACTTGGGTTGCGGGTCTGAGTCCAGTCGGATGGCTGATGGGATCTCATGGGGAGCGTCTCGGGGGCGTCTTGGAGGGAGTTTTTCCCAACCCTCCTGCGTTGGGCATTCGTTTTGAATAGAACACTGCCCGCGCGTCTTCTCCTTCTCCCGCCCCCCTCCTCCTCTCCTCTTCTCTCCTGCCTCCCACCTCGCCCCTTCCTACGTGCCAGCTTCCCTCCTACCTGGCCACCCCTGGGGGCTGCGATCTGCGAAACAGACGTCATTTTCGAGGGCTGCTGGGTGGTCCAGCGGGGTGACGTCTTACCCCGACTCAAAAATGAGACCTCGCCATCCCTTGGGGTTTGCGATCTGCGAAGTTGCCGCTACTTTCGAGGGCTGCTGGGGGTGCAGCGGGGCGACGTCTTACCCAGACCACCAGGAGACCTCGCCATCCCTGTGGGGCTGCGATCTGCGAAAACTGCCATCACTTTCGAGGGTTGCTGGGGGGTCTGACGTCTTCTTCAGACCAGGAAACCTCGCCATCCCTGTGGTGCTGCGATCTGCGAAAATGTCGCCACTTTCGAGGGCAGCTGGGGTATCCATCGGCGTGACGTGGGGGCCATGACACCTCCCAGAGTTTTTGCCCACCTCTTCTGTCGACGCGTTCCTTGGCCTTCCCCCTCTCGTCCGCGCACACGCTCCTGGACCACGCTGCGCCAACCGCCCTCTCGCTGGCCCCCCCATCCCCAGACATCCGGCGTCGTAATATTTTTCAGCTCGGGCCCCCCAGGAAGCCCCGACCCCCCTTGCCCAGGGCAGGAGGAGGAGGCAGAGGAGGAAAAGGAGGAGGAGGAGGAGGAGGAATCAGGAGGAGGAGGAGGACGAGGAGGACGAGGAGGAGGAGGAGGAGGAGGAGGAGGAGGAGGAGGAGGAGGAGGAGGCCAGGGCCGTTTTCTTCATCCGTGGCAGTTTTTCGACGGCCGCGCCCGGCGAGGGCTCTCGGAGGCCAGAGACATCAAAAAGCCTCCAGCGGAGATTGTTTCACCTGGGCCTTAACTCAGGCCTCCAGCGGCCGTACGGGACGATCCGGCATCCCCGCAACGGTCCCGTCGAGGCGCAGCCGATGGAAACCAGCTTGGGCCACGAAAACTTTAGGAAGACCACCCCGGGCTTTTTGAAAGTTTCGTGAGATTGACTCCGGGCCGACGGAAACCACCCTTGGCCTCGAACATTGACGATAATTTCGGGCCGTCGTTATTTTTGTTCCACGACGCGAGCACGTCTGGTTCTCCGCCGTGCTCGACCGAAGGCCGCCGAGGGCCGCCCTCCGCGTCGTCACCGTCGTCGATTCGTTGTCGTCGTCAATTCGTCGTCGTCGTCTTCGATTCGTCGTCGTCATCGTCGTCGATTCGTCGTCGTCGTCGTCGTCGTCTACGCATTGTCGTCGTTATCGTCGTCGTCATCGATTCGTCGTCATCGATTCGTCGTCGTCGTCGCCGTCGGCGGCGCGGCCGCGCGCGCTCGACCGCGCGCGCCGCCGCAGGCCGAGGGCACGCCGCCGCCCGAGCTGCGCGCGGCGCCCGCGGCGCTGGCCGGCTTCGCGGCGCCCTCCGCGCTGTGGGCCGCGGGCCCGGCGCGGCGGCGCGCGGGCGGCTCGGCGGTGGCGCCGACGGCGCGGGCGGTGCGACGCAGACGCCCTCGGACGAGGACGACGACGAGGACGAGGATAGGCCTGAGGAGGAGGAGGAGGAGGAGGAGGAGGAGGAGGAGGAGGAGGAGGAGGAGGAGGAGGAGGAGGATAGGGGAGGAGGAGGAGGAGGAAGAGGAGGAGGAGGAGGAGGACGACCACGACGAGGACGACGAGGACGACGACGAGGACGAGGAGAACGAGGACGAGGAGAATGAGGGCGACGAGAACGAGGACGAGGACGAGAGCGGCAACGGCGCAGCGGGCGGTGGCAGGAGGACGAGGGCGACGGGGAGGCGGAGGGGAAGGGGCATGAGGCACGGCAGGACAGAGCGCAGGAGGTCGCAGGAGGAGGAGAAGGAGGAGCGCGACGACGACACGGTGACGAGGCCATCTGCGGGTCATGAAAAAATCATGACGCGGGTTTTGTTGTCGCTATGCTCAGTCTTTGGAGGCCTTCGTCGGGCCCCGGGGGCGTCAAAGAACGACTCGGGATGAAACACCGGCCCTGGGCAATGGGTCGAGACCGCTGGGGGTCGACGTCGGTCAGAGGAGGACAAAGGTGCCCCTACGGCTAACCCAGGAAGCATTTAAGAACCCCCCCGGCGATATCGTAGCACCGCATTTTTTATTCGATATTCCGAAGGGCCAAAATAACCGAACGATAGCTGTAGCACCCGGACACGATGATGATGATGATGATGATGATGATGATGATGATGATGATGATGATGATGATGATGATGATGA